ACATCAACTCTGTAGCTATGCCAAATGGCCTCAGGCCTCCAGGGTGTAACACAATAAACAATTGGAGGGGTGGGGTAGAGCCATCCACGCATGTTGGGGTCCTGTCATATGCTGAGCAAATGTGTCTGTGCCACCAGCAACCTTTGAACCCATGCTCCTTAGGAGTGGGGGCAAGAGGGAGATCAAGGGCTGTGCTCTCTGGGCCCCAGTGACTCCAACTGGCCAGACCTAGGAGCACCTGGGACCCAGCCCAGGCAGCGACGCACTAGAGATGTGGACAAGATCCTGGCTCTGTGCCAAGGGCCAGGCCAGGCCTTGTGGTACTCACCTCGCTTGAGCAGGCTGGCCCGGTAGCGGCCCTCCAAAGTGCAGTTCCAGCGCTCAAAGCGGAACTGATACTGGCACTCAAGCGCACTCATGCTGACTGCCTCCACCAGTGTCTCGGCCACGCCTGGGTCCCGGCGGCACATGCGCCGCTGCTTACGCTCCAGCTTCAACCGATCGCAGGCCTTGTAGTGTGCCTGGGCAGCCGCCTCTGGCTCCAGGGTCAGTGGGAGGATGGTCAAGGGCTCGCTGCCTGTCAGCCTGTGCACAGAGAGGTGAGAGTGAGCCTCGTCCACAGTGGGGAGCCTGGCAAGAGATGTAGGTACTGGGGACAGCAGAACTAGGCTGGCCAAGCCTGGCTGGACGGCATGGTGGCCACAGGACAGGAACCATGCTGGCCCATCACGAGGGGCAGGAGCAGAAGCAGGCCCACAGAGAGGCTGGAAAGAACCTAGAAAGAATCAGCCATGGGACAGGCAGGCAAGAGGGCCCCAGTCATCAGACCCTCCCTGGACCAGGCCTCCATGCCCATCCTGCGTAACTGCTATAGGATGCTTCCTGGCCCCTCTGCACCAGCTGCCAATGAGCCTACCAACAGCTACCCAGCTATCTCTGCTGCTGACCTGCGCACAATAGCTTCAGGGAGTCCAACTGATATCATACACCCCAACACAGACACTCATGTCCACTACACCTTCTGCCTTCCTCGGCCCCAGGTGACCCACAACACCCAGTGTGTGGACCTCCACCCTCTGCAGTCAGCAGCTGGGGTGGCTCACAGTCCCATAGCCCCTACAGTTGGACCTGGCTTAGTCCCTCCTCACAGCCTCCCTGTAGCTTATGCAGATGCCACTGTGGTCTGACCAGGGTCTCCCAGCCTCAGGACCCAGGCATGAGACTGAGCAGCAGCTCCTGGTTCTTATGCAGATCCACCCCTCTTGGCCCAGCCTCAAGGTCCTTATTTGTACAAGGAGGCAGAACAAAAGCCCATCCCCACAGGCCACTCCCCAGGGACCACTAAGCCATCTCCCACTAGCTCTAGCTCTTCACATGATCCCTGCTCCCACTCCTAGGACCAAGACCAGTGCACCTGTCTTGCTGTTCCAGGGGCCTCAGCTACTTTCACTTTCCAGCCACACACTCTGCTCTCCCCAGCCACTGTACTTTCTCCAGACTCAGCTTCACCTTCATGGGTTGTCGTGGGTGTTCCTCAGTAGACAGTAGCTCCCTGGGCCTCCCTCCAGGCTGAAGCACACATTTCCCAAGAGCTGCTTGCTCACAGGTTCTCCTCACAGCTTTGCTGAGCCTGGCACGACCCACTGTGATTGTGAGCTAAGTTCCTGGCCATCCCAGAAAGTCTGAGCCCTGATCTCTGACCTGTGAGGCCATCCCCACATCACCGGCACTGACCATCATCCTGGGATTGACCACTCTCCTCAGACTCACAGGTTTCAGCACCCAGACGGATGGACTACACATCTGGGCCTCAGGTACATCCACCTTGGAAAGGAGGAGTGTCCATCTGGACACAGGCAGGACTCATAGTCCCCCTCTGCCACTAAAGTGTCCCTGGAAACAAGCTCCCCTGACCCCTACCTCCAAGCAGATGCCAGTGGCAATGCTGTGGACTCAGGCTCCTCTGAGAATCACTTGGGGTACCAGCTTTGGAAGCTCCCTTCCAAATGAGACCCCATTTGGAAGGGGTGGGGGTAAGTAAGGTCTTTGGAGAGACAGCACCTGTGGGGTCAGAGGATGGACACTACACTGGAATGAAGTTGGTGAGAGACCTCAGGGTAAAGGACAGAAGCACAGTTCACACCAGAGTCCCCAGGGACACCCACTAGGTCAGGATAAGGCTGCTGAGTAGGCAAGGTCAGAACCCAATCATAGAGGCCCTGAAGCTTCACAGTGGCCAATGATGTCATTCCAAGGGCTTGAAGGGGCTGAGCAGAGGGAATAGGGTCCCTCCTAGGAACATGGGAGGTGGCTTGTGGATATCCGGGCCTCATTCACAAACTGAATGAGGGCTGAATTCACAAACGGCCCTAAGTGCAAGGGCTGGAAACAAGAGGCCACAGGACAGCTGCCCATGAGGAGTCCAGCCAAGCTGAGCCCAGGGCAGGGGATAGACTGAGGAGGCCCAGCACAGCAGGAACCACGAGGGGAAGAGCCACACCCCACACACAAAGACAGCTCACATGGTGGAGCCCTCCATCCCCAGACAGGAATGTCACAGCTGTGCCCAGAATGGCATGCCACCCAGAAAGGCTCTAGCCTCCCACCTGCACATGATCCAGGCTGGGACTCTCCAAGTCTGACTAAGCTCTAAGCCAAGACATCCCAGCACCCAAGGGAACTTCCTACCGACCAGGAAGGTGATGGAGGGAACCTGGGATGGCCAGCTGTAAAGTACAGTTGTGGATGTGGACAGGAGGAAGGGATTGAAGGGGCAATGGGGAGGGAGTTGGAGAGCAGAAGGAAGGGGACGCTGCTCCCAAGGCCACTTCATCTGACTCTCAGCCAGCCTGAAGATGTCAAGGCAGTCTATGTCTATATTCTGCCCATGGAGGGTGGAGGCCAAGGGTTCCCTCACCTGGGACCAGCCCCCCCCAACTTTGTACTGAGAGACTAAAGAGGACAGGAGACCTCTCATCAACTCCAGGCCAGTTTTCCCTGATTTCTATACCAGAGACACTGATGTTAGGAGTTCCCCACCCACCTGGGGCCAGCCTCCCCACTCCCCAGACTCTTGTATAGGGGGGCTAAAGAAGGGAAGAGGCCTCCCGCTTTCCAGGGACCCCACCCTGGCCAGGGTCAGCCTGCTCTCACCCCTATACAAGGGACACTGAAAACTCTAGACCTTCTATCTGGGGCCAGTAGCCTCATCTGTTGAGTACAACCACTGGCCAGGGTGGGGCCAGAGCCTATGTGGGGCACAAAAAGCAGGTTTAATGGGGATGAGCTACAAAGCCCAGTCTTTCTGGGACTCTCCCTATATTATGCAGACAGCAAAACAAGTCTGGGTGCTCCTGGGTGGTGTGGGGACTCAGCTGGGGGTTGCAGAGCCAGATGCCTTGCCCTCTAGCCTTAGGATGCCCACCACATGCCTCTGGGAGTCCTGGGACCAGTGGTGGCTCCATAAATGCAGCTGCAGACAATTGACCCTGTTCTAACGCCAGGCAGGATCTGCATATTGCACTGTCTGCACTGGGCAGAAGGGCATGGAGAAAGGGTCAAGCCCAGCCTGGAAGTGGCCAGGGCCAAGTAGTCACTGAATTCCATGCTGCTCCCAGCTACAGCCTCCCTGAGTCTCCTGCTCCTTCACTTTTCTCCACCATAGCTGGTCCCTACCCAAGGCCCCCTTCACTGTCAGGTGGGTTCATGATATGGGCAGCCTAGGGGACTCACAATCTAGGGTAAGCCCCACTTTTGAGAATAAACAATCTGAAAATGTACCAAGGTATAGGGAAGAAGGTAGGCAACAAAGGAGTGGGTAGTGGGGGGTCCACAGACAGGCCCCAGGGTTGGGAAGGATGCATGGACCATTCAGACAGGGGTCAGGGCTCCCAGGACAGAAAGTAAAATTTTTAAAAATGTTTTAAAGTGCTGAGAGGTTGAGAGGTTGGTAAGATAACCTTAAAGTAGAGAAAGTTTTTCTCTTTGTGATTCAGAACCCAGAATGCACTGAAAAATTAATAAATTGGACTATCTGAAATACTAAAACCCCTACATGACAAAAACAAAAATCAAATCAAACAAACAAACAAACAAAACCAGCATAAAGTCAAATGACCAATAGATAAATGACATGTTGAAGAAAATATTTACAACTTATATCCCAAAGGGCCAGCTTTATTGTGCGTGCAGACATGTGCATATATGCATTTCTTCCTATAAATCAATGACAAAATGAACCTACCAAAAATGGACAAAGAATATTACCATATAGCTCAAGGGAAGGAAAAATAGGTGCTTTCAAAATGTCTAAGACTGGGACCAGCAGATGGCATAATGATTACGTCACTGCACTCCCACTGAGTCGACCGTGGTTCAAGTCCCAGGTCCAGCAACCGAAAACTCGTGCCAGGCACATGTGTGTGCATGCCCAAGATTCTGAGAAGAGAATGAAAGAGAAGGGACTGTAGTGTAGTCATTTCCCCTTGGACGTGATTTCTTGCTTTCTGTCTCTCTGTATCTCTTTGTCTAGAGAGTGCACGTGCCCTATAACAAAACAACAACAACAACAAAAAAACTCTAAAAAAAATTTATGAGATTATGCTCAACCTCACCCATTAAAACTACATTGATATAGGGCCAGCAGGTGGCATGGTGGTTAAGGATGCTGGATTCCCACATGGCCAACCACAGTTCGAGTCCTGGATCTGGCAGCTTGCTTTCTCACTTTCTCTTTCTCTCCCTCTCTCCCTCGCTTTGTCCCTCTCTGGTTCAATTAAAAATAAACAAACAACAAACAAATAAAGTTAAATAAAATTTAAAAAAAACTCTATTGATACATTATGTTTCATTCATCAGACGAGTACAGAATAAAATGTCTGATGAGATCATTGTTAAGACACAGGGGAAAGATACTCTTCCATGGCTAAAATTTCAGATTGACATATCTATAAAATTTTAAATTAATCCACTGCTATGGTCTGAATGTTGGTGTCTTCCCAAAATTCATAAATTCAAATCCTACCCCCTAAAGTTATAGTATAAGGAGATGGGGCCTTTGAGAGGTGATTAGGACATGAGTGTAGAGCCCTAGAGGATGGGTTCACTAGCCTTATAAAAAGAACCCCAGAAAAGTGCCTTTCCTCTTCTACCATGTGAGGACAAAGCAAGAAGATGTTATCTATGAACCGGGAAGGGGGCTCTCCTCAGACACGGAATCTGCCATGACTTGATCTTTGACTTTCAGTTTCTGGAACCGTTAGCAATTTCTGTTGTTTTTAAGTCACCCAGTTTATGGTGCTTTGTTATAGCAGCCGCCCAAAATAAGAAGCAGGCCAATTCTCTCTCGAGAAATATAAGCTGCATTATAAATGTATTATTACTGTGGAGAGTAGCTAATTTGAAAACATGTGATTAAAACATGTGGCCTGAAGACACATGTAAATAGATGCTTTTGTAAGCTATTTTAGTAGGGCTATTGAGAAGTATTTATATATGAAAGTATTTGTTGTTAATGGTTGTTTTGTTGTTGTTGTTGATATTTAATACTTTGATACTGCCTAGTATTAGGCTAAAGGAAGTCACAAGCTTTTATTAAATTATTCCCCAAAAGAATTAGAGAAATTATGTGGCGCCAATCATTTTTACATCTCTAGTCAATTTACATTTAAAAACAACTAGTTTTGCATCCCAACTTTTCCTCCCTTCTTTTTTTTACATTCTACTTCCTTCTTCCCCATTTCTTTTACATCCCATTTTCCCCTTCCCCCATTCTCTGCCCTTTAAAAGAATAAACCTGAGGCTGGTTTTGGTCGCAACTTCTCCATCAGAGAAGCTGTGCCTACCCAATCCTCGGTTTTCTATACTTGTGTGTCTTTGTGTGTTTGTTATTGCATCTATTTCTAATCCGCAGCCTTCCCCACTCAGAGAAATGTGTTCATGCTGAGCTGGTCCTGGCAAAGTGGCACCCAACGTGGGACCTGAGTACGGGCAAAGAGTCAGACGAGTAGACACTCCTTGCAGCCAGCTGGATATTATTAAGTAAAGGATCCTATAGCATAAAGTAAAAGAGAAAGAGATAACAGAGTAAAAGAAATACTAGAGTAGAAGAGATACCAGAGTAATTTTAATCACATATTTTCAAATTAACTACTCTCCACAGTTGCAAATCTCCCTCATCATTCAACACAATGTTGTTATATAAACATACTGCAAACAGGGAGAAGAGCAATTAGATGGGGTCCAGCCTTGGTGGAATACTGGGTACTCATGAAGAAAGCAGCAGCCCTGTGCACATCAGTGCCCAATCATTCCCCAGACATGCTCAGCAGACAAGCAATGCAAATAAGCTCAGCAAAGACAAATCTGTGTATGTCTACAGATGCCCCAGACAGACAAAAGACCTACAACAGAGGTGACAGAGGGGCAGGAATAATGCATTCTTTCTCATGTGTCCCCATGAGGGATGGCCTAACCACAAACAACACTCAGCAAGTGGCATGGTCCAGGCCCCCAGTTCTCACCACTCTCAGTCCTGAACATAGGCCTGGGGTGGCCAGTGTCTGTCCACATGGCCTGATGCCTGGAGGCTGCAGCCTTGTAGCCCATACTGTGCCCAAGGCTGCCTGGCATGGCACAGAACAGGCCCCCACTCGCTGGCCCAGCTGCCTACCCCACATGGTGCACCTGCTGCTGGGCTCAATGCAGCTGCTGCCTTGGCCCCCTGGAAGTGTCTTGTTGGGGACAGGGTGATAGAGCCAGGCACACAGTCCAACACAGCCAGTGAGATAGGCATAAATCGCCCTGCAGGAAAGGATTTCCTTTTGGCGGGATGAGTGCTTTTCGTTCTCTACCTGACATCCTCTGATAAACCAAAGTTTATAGTTTTACTGTACATCCACATTTGAACTTCTCCATTATATATTCCCATTTCTATGTTAGAGAAGTCCATCTTTACTCTTATGTCATCAGCAGTCTTCCTGTCGTTCTTCTGTCGTGCTGTACACACATGGCTCTTTGCAATGGCAGGTAGCATCCAAAGCCATTGTTCACAGGAGCACTTGAGTATACCAGCATGACCATTCAAAAAGACCTCACCTCCTCTCCACCTTGTAATGCCACCAATGTCACCATTCTGTGTGGCTCATTCCCAAGCTCTGCCCAAGCCAACAGCTTCTTGAGGTTTTGCTAGGATTTCACGGGGAGCTCTTCCAGCAGGCTCCAGAGGATGGAGAGTGGGGAACTGATGTGT